CTTTCCAGACACTCTTCCCCAAACCTGTAGCGCTGCATGGGGTTGTTGTGACCCAAGTGCAAGACCCGGCACTTGGCCATGTTGAACCTCGCACCATTGGCCTTGGCCCTTCGATCCAGCCTGTCCAGATCCCTCTGTAGAGCTATCCTATCCTCAAGCAGATCAACACTTCCACCCGGCTTGGTGTCGTCTGTAAACTTACTCGGTCCCCTTGTCCGTGTCATTGATAAAGATATTAAACAAAAGAGGCCCCAATACTGAGCCCTGGGGAACACCACTTGTGATGGGCCGCCAACTGGATTTAACTCCAATCACTCCAATTTGAGCCCAGCCATCCAGTCAGCTTTACCTAGCAAAGGGTACACACGTCCAAGCCATGAGCAGCCAGTTTCTCCAGGAGAATGCTGTAGGAAACAGTATCAAAGGCTTTACTAGAGTCTAGGTAGACAACATCCACTGCCTTTCCCTCATCCACTAAACTGGTCACCTTGCCACAGAAGGAGATCAGGTTAGTCAAGCAGAACCTGTCTTTCACAAACCCATGCTGACTGTACCTGATCACCTGGTTGCCTGTATGTGCCGTGTGATGGCACTCAAGATGATCTGCTCCATAAACTTCCTTGGCACCAAGGTCACACTGACAGGCCTGTAGTTCTCCAGATCCTCCTTCTGGCCCTTCTTGTAGATGGGCATCACATTTGCTAACCTTCAGGCAACTGGGACCTTCCCAGTTAGCCAGGACTGCTGATAAAAGATGGAAAATGGCTTGGTGAGCACTTCCACCAGCTCCCTCAGTACCTTTGGGTGGATCCCATCCGGTCCTATAGACTTGTGTGTGTCTAAGTGGTGTAGCAGGTTGCTAACCACTTCCTCTTGGATTACAGGGGCTTCATTCTGCTCCCTGTCCCTGTCTTCCAGCTGAGGGTGCTGCATACCCAACTGAGAACAACTGGTCTTACTATTAGAGGCTAAGACAAAGAAAGCATTACGTATCTCAGCCTTTTCCTCATCCTTTGACACTATGTTTCCCCCTGTATCCAACAAATGGACTTATTTTGGGCTGTGTGAGCCAGACTGGGGAGCCATATCAGACTCAGGGACTATATTCATAGCAGACTTGTAGCCTCTGGTTTGCAGAGGCTCAGAGCAACCAGGGTGAGGTGAGGGAGAACCTTGGGGAGGTGGAGGGAGGATACACAGCTTTTAAAACAAAAAAAGCAGCCTGGCAGGCCAAATACCATTTTGGTCAGCACCCCACTAAGCAACCAGAACACTGAACAAAGTATGAAAAGAAAATGCAGTTTGTTTGGTCTTTCTACACAGAGAATGGGAAATATCCCCAGCCAGTGTCTCTTTTTTTTTTTTTTTTAAAGGCTGGGGTGTAGCTGGGCTCCTTCTGTTTAGGAAGGGCCTAGCAGCAATGAGGATGAACTCTGCAATCCCAGATAGACCTCTGCCATCACCTCATCCAAGTCTCCCAGTAGACAGTAGTTTGGTGGAACAGTGAGGTGGTACAGGCAGCTCCTGCAGCAGCAGTCACTGTGACCACTCCAGTAAAAGCACCATACTCCTCCTCTGATGACAAGTGATGCCACTGAAGGGAGAGGTAGAGAAGCTCCTATCATATCTTGATACTCATCCTCACACCCAGGTTTACAGACCTTAAGTCTGGCTGTGCTTTTAGGGGAGAAAGCTGACATTTTAAATTTCTGTGCCCTGATCTCCCCTTAGGTTCCTGTGTGATTACTGCTCTTGCTCCAGGCTGTGAGCTAAATAATAAAGGGAAATAGTTCATTTTCATGTGTGTCACTCAAGAAATCCATGCAGCAAGACTGAACCTCTGCTAGTGGCAATGAGCACATCAGGGCTGAAGTCAGTGCCAGTTTACATCAGCTGAGGGGCTGACCCCACTGCACCACCTTGAGAGGTTTTACTTTTCCCTGTGGATAATGATAAAATTCAGTTTAGCAACAGCTATATCAAAATACATCAGATGAAGTAGAAAATTGCCAGAAATGGCTTTCCAAAAGGCTCTGCTTGAAGAATTTCATGCAAAAGCATAATTCAGTTAGCTTGGAAACAGTTAACACGATAAAGGAAGTCCTCAGCTTTGCAGCAAAAAGAAAAAAAGCAAGCATCATGAAGGCACTGGAAAGGCATCTTACTGCCCTGCTGCATCAACCTACGGTCAGTCGTCAGAAGAAATTCTCCCTCGCCTGTAGTCAATGGCAGCCTGAATGAAATGGCAACTCCTGTTGCCCCACAGAAATGCAATCACATCATTGACTGATAACACCAAAGACAATGTGTGACATTTACAGATTTACGTGAACCTGATGGAGCATTTGTGTAGGCTGCAATCAATTACTTGGGCTTAACTGCATCATGTTTACCAGAAAATGAGGAATAGTTTACAGAATATGATGGCAGGGGCTTGGAGAGGCAGAGAAGGATCCTGTCTGTAGCATAACTTGAAGTCTGGTCTTCAAGTGCATGCGTGGGCAGGGAAGATATTCTGCGCACCGTCTCCCCACGCAGGTGCACTGCTCACACACACACACACATACTATTGCACAAGAAACCTAAATATCTTATTTTTAAAAACACAGCCCAGCTCATTTGCTGCAAGAACAAACTGTCCAGTCCTGATCATCTTTCTCAGATATTTTAATCACTGAAATTCCTCGGGCTCCCCTACTGAACTAATCTAATGAGATTTGACCCACAAATGCACACTGGTTACGAAAAGATCACATGTACATTTTTGTTCTTCTCTTTGCTATGCACAAATGTAAAGACAAACCCTGCTGCTGACAGGAAGGATAAATGGTAGAAATAACCAGGATGGCTTTCAAACGATGCTATCTGCAGCTGTCATGGAGTCCAACAGGGACTGGGGCTGTTCGGCACCCTGTTAAATATCAAGGCGCCTCTCCATGTAGACGCGCACATATGCAGCAACACCCTCCCTGTGTGTGCATACATGCCCTTTTTATTATGCCACATGTACCTAATAACTTCATCATACAATTAAAGCTTTACACACACACATACATGCATGCTAACTAACGCTCTCTCTGCAACGCACACACACACATACACACACACAAAACCTAACGACAGGCACCAGAAAAATCCAACGCAGCTCTGCAGGCAGAAAGTGCTCACCGAAGCCATGTAGTGCACACCCAATCCACAGCGATTGGTGCCTTATCATTATGTATAATAAATAACAGTGTTTAATAATAACAGCACTGCCGAGCTGCCTGCGCTCACACCCTCCCGACTCCATGCTCCTAAGCCGTTTCTGCAACATGGTCCTGTGCATGAAACACAGAATGAAAAGCAGGCAGGACACGATCACTGCAAGAATTAGGCTCCGGCAGCGAAGGCTGCTTCATGTCGGAGTGGGCTCTTCCCAGCTTTCAGACGTGTGATCTGCATGTCTAATAATGAACAGATTTATCAATCCATCATTTCTGGCATCAGTCCCTTACCTTGAAATGCTGCAGCTGAAGTATCTGGTCCTCAAGCTGTTGTCTCTTGCCTTCTATTTCTGTCTGCCTTTTCCGTTTCTCCTTGGAAAAATAATTTGAAAGACACAGAGAGAGAGAGAGAGAGAGATAGATATCTCGTTAGAGAAACGGAGGCTTTAAGGGTAGCAGATTTGTAAAAGCGTGTAAGCAGTCAAACGCATCTGTACAGATGTCACCAGTCCCATTTCACCTGCTCCTCTGCCTGCTGGTATGCAAACAGCAGCGTCCTGGGAAGACGCCAGCCCCAGACTAGCCGGTCGCTCGCCAGCAGGAGAAATTCTCCTCGCTCGCTCCCGGCAGCCGGAGCAGCAACAGAGTGCACAGTCCCAGAGGAGGGGAGAAAACAGGCATAACGGCTGAGAGGGAAGTTAAAGGGACAAAGATGTGCTTTTGCATTGGAGATGTTGGGCCAAAAAAAACCCCAACGGATTGCGTGGTGCAATTGTGTGACAGTAAGGCGACACGAAAGCAGTGGGTGGCATCACGGAGGAACAGAGCCAGGTCGCAGACGGCGTTTTTCCCCCCCGTGAGGTTGGTGGTAAGGTATTCCCCAGGCTCAATAGGGAGAAGGTATTTCAGCCAGATTGCATGGGATTTACCTGCAAAGCAAACGGGATGGAGAAACCCCAGCTGGCTTTGTTTAAAACTCAAGCCACCAGCACACGCCAGCAGCTGGCCCTCACCGGCTCGCAGAAGCTGGGCTGACCGCGTGGCGCCAAGGACAGCACGGTCATTTCCACAGCTGAGGGCTTTCACGGTCACGTTCGTGAACACGGCCGCTCACCCGTGCCCAGGCTGCTCCCTTCAGCAGTCAGCAGACTCTCTCAGGTGTTTCAAGAGGAGAACGCCCTGCTTTTCTCCCCTGCAACACCTTCCTCTTACGAAGGATCAACTGTTTGCCTTTTGCCAGTCTTCCGCACCTTGTGGGGAGCATTTCTCCCCACCCATCACCAGCCCAGATTAGGTTCCCTGTCCTGGAGGTCTTTTCTCATTTTAGATTTTGCAGCCAAGACAGAAATATTGAGTAGTAAATAAAGGCAGTCAAGTAAGCATACAGCCTCAGTTTTTTACCAGAACAACAGTCTTTATTCCCTACATGTGAAAGCATGTTTTTGTTATTTAAATATTTCAGTAGGTGTAAAGTTGGGCTTGAAGGCATTTGAGGATTCCTTAAGTCCCCAAAGTAATTTTTCTGTCTCATCTCTAGGTACCCTACTGATGCTCTGGGAATTCTACACTTTCCAGGGATTTCAAACCTTCATGCCTTGTCCTCAAGGGGCATATGATAAGATGCTGCCTATGCAGAAATTAGTTGTGTTTATATTGGACCTCAAACCAGGGAATTTTGAGTGAAAACATTACATTTAAAAGGAAGATCAGGGAACTTTTTTTAGTGTCAGGCTCTCTCAAAACAAAGCAAAACATGGAGCTAAATAACTGTCTGGACCACTCCTGCCAAAGAGTGAGACATCAGAAAAGTGATGGGAGGGCTGGAGCAATGAACCCAGAAGAGGCAAAGTAGTCAAATGATGCATATGTCAAACAGTTCTGTAATACACTGCACACTCTTACATGATGATTGTTTGTGTATATCTACATCTACACACACACACTCCTTACTCTCTGATGTACATAAGAATATCACTGCCGAACAAAAATAATCTGCTGACGTTGTTTCAGAATAGGAAAATAGGCTTTTTGGATAACTAAAATGTCAGAAACGGTGCCTGTCTTCAGCTGAAAACTTGACATCTCGCTGCTCTGTGCATGCAGGAGATAGTTTGCATTTGTGCACGCACACGCATATAAAATTTATGCATTCACCTTTAAAAATCCCTCCTTTTATATAAAATTGATAGCCTGTGGATCATCCCTCCTATCACTCCTCCAATCCCCATCCCCCCTTTGAATTTTTGAATGGAACAGGATATTGGATGGCTCAGGGGTTAAAAAACCCCAACATTGTTCAGGGATTTCTCTTGCCATTTTCTTCATTCTGTGATATTAACAGTGTATTTTGGAGACTGAAAAACAGAATTTGTTTTTTGCCATTTCCTCATATAGCTGGTCAGCCATGGACCAGAATAAAGTAGTTCTAAAAGCCAATTCAGTTAATGGCCTAATATTCTTAGTATAAGGATAATTCTGCCCTGTTTAAGCGAAGCTGGCCAGATGACAGAATGTTTGGATTTCACATATGTAGGCATTAACACCCCACATCTGACAGTTCATAGGCCAGCATAAGGCACCTACATTTTCACAGTTAGCTGACCTACATTTATGTGTGTGTGTGTATATACATACATATGTTTTTTCATACATATATGTATTCAAGCCTTCACAAAAACCTTCTCCATAAAGCACATGATAGAAATCACCACAGTACCTCCTCTGGCTGGTTGTGTCATACTCTATAATGGATGTGACAAGACAGCCTTATAAAACATAGATGGAAACTTCTTTTCTTTGTGAGAAAGGGAAAGCACTTAGAGTATTTTCCCTGCAGGCAGCAACACAGCAGGCACTAAAATACTTGAACTACTTACTAACTAGTGGGCTTCTGTGGAGTTAAATTGGAATATTGCTCACGTTTCCATATCACTGGCTTTCAGTCAGCCTGACTGCATGCCTCTGCCCTCTGATTTTGTACCACAGCTATGGCTGAGGAGTATGACAGCAAAAGTATTTTTTTTTTTTTTCTTTCTCTGAAGACTGCATGAATTGCAGCGCTGGTAATTAGCTATCAGGGTGTTTCCCCTTCAGGTCACTAGATCACATTAAATTTAAGCTTTTCCCAGTCACTGAAGGTTGTGACTGTATGTGTTCCTGGTTTATATGGGCGTGTTCTGAAAAAATGTGGTAGAAGACTGGACTGGCTGACAAAAATCCCACTAAAATCAGCATATTAAGGATTTTAGATGTTCAGTAGATGAAACCCACTTAAGCGGGCTCCTGATCAGTAAAGTCCTAAAGCAGGACTTTGCTGAAAACACTGGGATGTAAAGCACATGCTTATTTATACCTGAGCATTTATTAAGGCAGTTTTCTACACTGAAGCTGGTAGATGTTCCTCATTACTCTGTTCATCTCCTTATCTTCATCTAGCTAAAGATAAAAAAAATCATCCCCAAGAAGTAACCCCCAAGAAGACAATCCCTGATCTCTTCCTCCATGCAAGGATGCAGGGAGCTCAAGTCATAGAGGGAAGGCAGGAGTCAGGAGGATGGTTGGGTATATAAGGGATGACTGGATTTTGTACAATTCCTGCACCTTTGAGGGAGTTAGTGAAAACTGTCGGCTGAGATGTCAAATACACACACACAGAGTTCCTTGAAGCTATTCTGTGGGCACGAAGTGGTTTTTGGGTTTTTTTTGTTTTGTTTTTTTTTTTGATTGTTTGTTTGTTTGTTTTAAAAAAGTGAAGGGATTATAGAAACTAGGTTGAAAGAGGTGGAGAAAACAGGCACCGAAGCCAGTTTTACTGTGAATGTGGTAGGTTTAAAAGAAAAGATTTTTACCTATCATCTGAGGTGTGCTGCTTTCGTAAGAATACAGGTAATCATCACCTTTCCAAAATGGTAAAGGAGTACCATTTGGGAGGTACAGTCAGGACGCTCTGAATATTTGGGATATTCATGAGTTAAATTAGATTCAAACATTACAACCCTCCCTTCACCAAAAATACTGGGGAAACGGGAAAGTGAAAGTACTTATTTTTTTTACTCATAGACCCAAATGATGGGAAAAGAACATAGGTCAAATGGAAAGGTTACTCACATCCTGAAATCTGTTAAATGAAAAATGAGATTTGCACACAGGCATTCACATGCCGATGTGCAACATGGAAACCATAAACTTATTTCCTTTACCAAGAAGCTTGATTTCAGAAAGTAAGCAATTACTTCTTAGCACTAAAGGTGGCCAGTGCCACTTTCCTATTGCTAAAACCCAAGTATGTCAGATACTTGGTAAGAACTCATCCACTTGGAAGAGAGAGAGGTGTCGGGAGGACAAGATGGAGACCTGTAAAATCATGAGTGGGGGCATGGAGAGAGCCAGTGGGCATCTACTGCTCGCTCTGTCTTCCCCTGTAAGAAAAAAAAGGGGCATCAAGTGAAACTGGATGGGGCAGGTTTGAAGCCAAGGCACTGGGCTGCTGTGGAAATCCCTGTCTCAGGATGCTGTGGGTGCTAGAAGGTGATGGGGGTACCAGGGGACAGTCAGAGAGAAGGAGTACTGTGAGGGTTACTACACAAACTGAAATTACATCTGGGGCAGGAAGCCCCTGAACCACAGACGGTTTTGAGGGTGTTTGTTTTCTAAGTTTTCAAATGCTTGTCCTTCTCTAAAGCTCATCCTAACACCACTGATTTTTCTTTGACCAGAGAAGGGGTGCAGCATTTTTCATCTGAATCGTGCGTTACATTTGATCAAAATAACCTACAGCTTAGTATCAGACTTGTCAAACTGTTCCAGTCAAAAAAACCAACCCAAACAACCACAAAGCAATAACAGCAAAAAAAACCAACCAAACCCAAAGCAAGCATAAGACCTTGAAAAAAACAAGTTATACCAAAATGCTTCTCTGTGACACTACAGTCACAGAATACTTCAATTTTCCACTACAAAATCATTTTTGTTCTTGTTTAGAAATCTGCCTGCACAGTGTGGGAAGTGATACAGAGATTATTCAGCTCACAGAGTCATAACTGTCTGCGGAGAAACATGCACCTCTAAAGACATGTAAATCCTTGGGGCAGTAAAGCCTTGATAAAGCACTTTGCTCCCCTTGCATTGGCAGAAGCACCTGATTTCTTTGGTTTAAAGCCAGCTCAGACACGTGCAGAAAGCACTCCATGGAGTAGCAGAGAAACTAAATGCTATTTGATTGACCTCACTGGGAAAATACATGCCCAAATCTGATGGCAGGTTAAGGTTTACGGTACAGGTATCCAGAATAACACAGTAGGAAAGATAAAAATATCCCCAGCTCAGCACAAAACCTGATGGGGATTTGGTAACCTTTGAGGAAACGGGTAGCATGACACTGGAGGAGCTACCACTGGTAGTTTCATTGAAGAGGTTTCCTGTTGGCTTCATCCTGCACGACAAGCAAGTGTCCAGCCCACCACAGAGGGGCAGGTGGAAGAGAAGGAGCTCCTGCCTGTTGTGCCAATGCAAAGAAAAAAAAAAAAAAAAAAAAAAAAAAAAAAAAAAAAAAAAGCCGCCAAAAATGGCACAGGTGGAGGAAAATTACAGTCTGCCTCAAAGCAAGCAAAACAGTTACAAAGAACTGTCTCCAAAGAATCAAAGAATCACATGAATTTCTTCAGCAAGACATTATATTCTCCACTCT